TATCAGGCTTACGTTTCGGCCTCTTCGCCTTCCTCAGACCATAACAAATGAAAAAGCAATTGAGACTGATCCTTTCATGAGGAGCAATTCTGAAGCAAGTTTCTCCAGAATAGGAAACCAACAGCTGACATCGATTGATCAAAAAATGCTACAAGGCTTACCTAGATCTTTGTCGCCATGGAGCAAGTTCGACCACCCAAGAAGCAGACTTTTGAGTGCAGTGAGCAAGCCTATCCCTACTCCCTGACCTCGGACAGGCTAAAACAAATTTTGCACATCGGAATCCATGCCAAGATTGAGAGAAAGTCGTTCTTGGACTATGCCGAGATTGATAGGAAGTCGTTCATTGACATGTTTTGCCCGCAACGCAGATTCTTTGTGGTTTCATCCTCATTTAGAACTATGCAGAATTGTGGGAATAAATTGAATTTAACGCACGGGTTGCGATGAGATTGATGTGTCATTTCTTTCAAAAATTAGATAGAAAGTGCGAACAGGAAAGTTAGTGAAAAAAGCAAAAGGCGTCATAAGAAAATTTTCCTTGTTGGACTAATATCCGTGGTACAACGGAGAGACACAGCGCTGCGAGGAGAGGAAAATGTGGAAGAGCACATCGTGCGCAAAAGGGACCAGACCAGAGAGGGCGCAGACGCCACGTATGCTGCCATTGATAAGAATGGCAGCGGTCGCAGCCGTTAAGCGAAGGCACCAGCTTTCTTGTCGCTCACTTACAAATTGTAAGAGTACCACCAATCCTGTTCGGTCCTGGTATCTCTATCTAAGAGCTTCTCGGAGAATCCAATCGCGACATCCGTCGCTACTGAAATCTCATATGTTTTTTCTGAGTTGTTGGAGATTACTTGTTAATATCATCATAGCGGCACATTGCGGGGTTGTAGTGGTTCTTCGGCTCGTCTATTCATTCCCACTGAAACAATATTGAGCACCAAACTGTCTCCTTCCAACAATCTTTTCGTGTAGCGTTTAGATTTTTCATCCTATGAGGTAGCATATTCTGTCTTGTCGCCCTTAGAAAGCTAGTTTCAGGAATCAAAGTCTTGGAAAAAGTAGACCTTCTCTGAAGACTCAAAAGCCAATTTGAAATTCTGAAATTATTTTATAGGTGAACGGTATAATGATTATGCACTGCGAGGATCTTCTGATTCTGCGACGATGCGCAGCCACGTACATCGCTATGAGCATCCACTTTAATAGCTTGTTTGCTAGTCAGGTACGGTCAAGGAAATAGCCCAGTTTGGTTGCAAACGCAAGACTGTCTCATGATTATGGCATAAAGCTTTTCAGGGTTTCTTTCTGATCATGCCCACCCTTCTTCGGTGCTATAGCCAGCGACAGACGAATCGTGTTTTTTGCTCGGTGGTGGAATTTCTCTGTCGTCAGTTTTACACGCTACATCGGAAGCCCTTTCTGCTGCAGATGTGCGGCTCCATTGCCAACATCATTGACAACAATAACAACGACTTTGAGATCAATCCGATGCGAGTGAAAGCCAAGGTTAGAGTTTTCGCTATTTTTTCGGTATAATCGAATTTTATGGTCCAGCTTTACCCGTTCACCTTGTATTGGAGAGAAAAAGCTGGTAAATGTGATCTCCTGCACCAAGTTAGCGTCAACCCCACTTGGCCAGTCGGCAATGTATGGAAATTATCACAGTGTTCAGTTTTTCGTAGGAATGAGCGGGGATCCCAGTTTCCCTCCACTTTCGACTCGTCTAGCCATTCGCCATTTCGTGATTTAAGGCAGCTGTTACGATGAATAGGGAGCGCATCGCAGAAGCACATGCACCACACGAATCATTTACTTGGCTGCCAGGGAAGCGAGGTGTGACGCTTTCCACGACGGAAGCGTTCGCTGGTTGCTGAGCAGGACTTCGAAAGCACTCCACCCCTGAAAGCAATCCGCCCACTAGTTTATTTGGTGATCTGGGCGAACAACGTCGCCATCAGCGGCATAGCTGGAGCAACTCGATTGTAGTGTGGTTGGTCATGGTGTTACCAATACGCGTTGCGCTTGGGACCACTTCGAACAACTGCTTCCTAGCTGTCACCGTGTCATGAGTCGAAACCGACCAGAAAAAGGCTGTCCTCATTTTTGCCATTTTTTTGACGGATTTTTCGCTTTTGTTTGCCACGACGTCACCACTAAACCACCCACCACGTCTCCTTCCAAATCCTTGCAACCTATCGCATATCGCTGCCTTTTCAAAAAATAAAAGCGTATAATGGGAGTAAAGTAGCGCGAGGCGGAGACGTGAACTGACCGCTATGAAATTTCATTTCCCCGTCCAAACTGGGTATGAAAGATTGCCTCGAACGCACTATTACGAACATGAACATTTACTGCAAGCAGTACTTCTTTTTTGACCATTGACTCTATTCTTTGGTTCCTATTCATAATTCTAACATCGTTACCCTTTGTTGCGTATTCTCCTAATTAACGCATAATAGTACGGATCTTTTCGTAGCTGGTTTACGCTGCTAAAGCACATGAAGAGTATGGGGTGACCGAACACGGTACCAAAAATTTGACATCCTTGGTTTAGTGCCATATGAAAAACCGTTGAAGGTAATTTTATTCTGGAAAATAATTATCAAACATTATGGTCTCATTCCAATCGAGTTCATCCATTCTTCAGGCCTTGGATCTCTGCTACCGAGATGACCCGAATACGTTTTGTCTTCTGACCGATGCTATAGCGAGTTGTATTTGCGTGTGCGCATTTGCTCCGGAGAGTAAGCGAAGTCATCACATGCTGGTAAGTTGAGCAAGAGTGTGACATAGATCAGATGCGCGCGGTCGCGAAGCGTTAAAAGCCAACTGGACCATAAAACACGGGAAGGTTACCTGCGACCACTTCCACCTTCAGAATGTGGAGGGTTTGAAACGGTCAAAGTATTGGGTAGCGCCGCATGTTACCGTTGAAAAACGCTGTTCTATGGCTTAAATATTTATCTTATGTAGTTCTCATGTCGTCAGCTCAGAGAAAAAGGTGTGTTACGCCCGTCTCCTTTCCTTGCTTGGTTGGCTACTACTTATCTCGTTATATCCATAACATTCCTCATTTGTAGCTCGTCATGGCCGCCCTTCAACCCCACCTTATTCGTCGGATCGAGGAGGAGACAATGCTTCAGAATAACTGCCCCGCTGCTGTGAAGCATGAGGTCTCCCAATGGACAACGATGTGTGTGGAGATGAAAGCTCTTATAAACAGTTGTGATATCCTTGCCAGGTACGCTAATTACCGATTAACTACGGTAACTGTGATGTAAACAAGGGCTACCGTGAACAATGCCTTCTTCAGAGGACCACAACGTGCATTCGACTTAGTGAACACGGTATCCGAGCGAGGCAAATCGTTCGCCGCAGACTCGCCGCAGTTTTTTGATCCACCTACCACTAACGAAGATGAAAATAGTCGTCCTTATCATCCGTACGTCTTCGCTAGTCATTCTTTAGCCATTCAAGAGACACTTTTTGATTACCTTTTCGATGACATTCATGCACTCGCTAGAAATAATGTAATAAACTTTTAGAAAGGAAAAGAAATCAGGTGGCTGTTGGCTGGGAAGCGGCCGATGTGGAAGAGTCACATAAGGAGAGCTACCGACGTTCACGCGATACGCTTCTATGCTTGGCGGCTCAGTTTATCGAGATGGCCACTCCCAGGTAGGCGTAAAATTCCGACGGAGGAGAAGATAAAGCGGCGTTGAGTACCTGTAGACAAACAAACAGACCTGTAGGAAACAGCAAACAATAACCCCTCTAATTATTTTTGTTCACTGTTCTTTCTGTATTATTTCATGTTACATTTACTTTGTAGGACGACAGTAAACAGTACAGAGGGGACAAAATTACTGGTGCGCCAATACTATTTGTTCACACTTTCAGGACTGAACCTTCATCTATACATCCTAACTGAATCCATTGGCAGGAAAGATAATAATCCAACACATATGGACTCTTTTGAAGAAAAAAACCTCCTCTATTCTTTACACAGACTTTCGGCAAGGGGCATCGCATGCAGCACGTAGGCATTTTCCTTCAATTTCGACCCAGGATTACAGGAGCGCCGGCCATTTGTCGTGAATGATGAAGTTGGGAATGCGCTCCGCGCTTTGTTCCTGGCCTCTCGGATCGCGTGTGCTGGAACGGAGTTCTTGCTGAAACCACCGATAACCATCTTCAAAGTGAAGACACGCTCATGGTTTCGAATAAATGTCGAGCTTGAACGTTCTTTGAAAAATATTTGAGAACTTGAAAAATCGAGGAAAATGCGTTTTTATAGCGCTCTGTTGAAGTTTGACGGTTGGTGCGAAGTTGCGCGCAAAGCGCAAAGGTCAAAGAACCACTTTTGAATTCGAGGTGGCCGGTTAGTATGCAGAGCAACATATAGAGGAGGAAATGGAACAGGGAAATGTAACAGTAAATAATATATTAGGTGATAGAAAATAGATATTTAAGTGCGCACCAGTTATTTTCCCCCCCCCCTGTAATGGGTTAGACTGGTGACTAAATGACTTTGAAATAGAAAAGTTGGAGAATCTTTAGAATTTAGTTACTGTCGATGGCGCTATGTTTGCTGTCTACTGTATTGAGTTCCCACGAATTGCCAAAGCAAACACGTTAAGACGACAGTCGGGCCAAGGCAGAGGGTCGTGGTGAGCGCTGCCCTTCGGTGCGTGAGTGATACGGACCCTAGAGGGACAATCACAGAGTGGTGGGTGGTTCCGCGTGCACGGAAAACCAACCGAAAAAGAATTCTTGAACCTCGAAGATAAGCTGGCTTGGAGCTTAGCAGGAAGTTGCTGCCTCCAGTCAAGCTGGCCGTTCGTGGCGCATCTCTGAGGGCTGGTAGCGCTCTTTCGCTCATGTCTCCTCAGCGATTACGTCGTCTCATAATTCCCGCATTTTCGACGGTTTATCCTCCTTTTTTCTTTACTGCCGGCCCATTTCGCACCAATGCATTCGTGTTCGTGGGTAAGAGCCACACTAATGTACCCTGGGGCATGCGTTCAGGTGTGTTTCTAAAGGCACGGTAATCTTGATGGGAAATCTATCAACAGAGTATGCATGCAAAGCTGCCGTCGCCACTTAAATTGGTGATTCAAAATACCAGGTTTGATCCACAGGGAAAAGGCGCGGCGAGTTAAGCTCAAAATAGTGCAGAACAGCGTTTCTATTTTTGAAAAGGTGACGAAGTCAACTTGACTAGAAGCACATTTTCAAAATTTGGCCAATCAAAAAAATGTATTACTGTGTATAATTCAAAACGTGCTACTATGAGAGGTGTTTGGCAGAGGTTGGAGACTTTATTTGTAAAGAGGAATTCACGATTAGAATGAAGGTCGAAGAAAGGGAAACTGACCTAGTTGAGGGACCCACGGACCTCCTGAGGGTGCGAACTGACGCGCAATTCGCATGGAAAAATTTGACCTCGGCGACCTATCATGCCTCAAAGCTGGCGGGTCCGGCGATCTCCGCCCACCGATCATCTGATCACTCGCCGTAGTTCAATACGTGGCGAGTGATTAGATAGCTGAGAGAGCGTAGTGTTGAAGAGGGCACAGCGATGAGAGTCGCATCAATGCTCGAATCAACGGGCAAGGAAGGGGTACCATTTCTCGGGTTCCTTAGCCGAAAAGTGGATAAGATTACTCTCCGCGATACCGGGTATGAGGCATAACTGGTTATGGATACCGCTAGCAAATAAATGATAAGCAGCTGGCCCCTCAAGTAAGTCCTTGGCTGTGAGTCAATGCATTTGTCGGTGGGAGGCTTGTGCAAGTTTCGCTCAGATGTTGCTGCATGATTAGGCTGAAGGAACTGGCGAAGCTCAGTTCAACTAGTGAGCACACAAAGATTCCTGAAGTGATGGACCATAAGTGTCATGTGAAATTGAGTGAAATTGCGTTGGCACTGCTGAAGATCGCCTCCTACGATTTGACAACGATGTCGTGCCTCGGTTTTTGCAGAAGGTGCGTCGGTTTACGCGTCGTCTGAATAGGCTTATTTATTCTAATTTGTGGTTACGCTTTGATCGCAGACATCTACAAATCCATACGTATAGACGACAAAGCGCATGGAATGATGAAGTGGCTAAATAGAAGCTTAGTAAGTAATTTACTGTGGATGAATGAGGTTAAGTTAGAGAGAGTAGAAGAATAAGACAATCACAGAACATAATTTTCCCCAACTTCTCAATTTTATCAGCCTTTTGCGTTCAGATACTTCACGACTATCATGCCTGTGACCGACTGGTCGATCGAGTCAAATCGTTCTGCGTTGGGTATCATTCTGAAGCGTCTCGACAAAACAATAGCCAAGATCGCCAAGAAACAAAGCATTCGCCGTCGAGTGAATTGGGCAGCACTGGCCAGTTGGATAAAAGGGATCTGTGATACCTTGTCTGTCTTTCCCTACATGGCACATCTCAATCCATTGAAGGTGCTTTTCCAAGTTTCTTGTTTCCTCCTTCCTGTTATCAATTACTTTTTCGTATTGCGCCATTTCACTTTATTTCTGGTTATTCCGATGAATTCTTCCCCGTTTTTAGTCTACCACTCAACTCTGCCTGCGAATCATTGCTGGTGATACTTTTCATGAAGAAGGTGCACCGGCCACCCATACTACGACGGTGTTGCACTCGTCACCGCCACCACCAGTATTTTGCAGTGCTGTCCTAAGGATGACAACCATTCTTATGCAAGCCTTTAGGGCAGGTTGGTGGTACTCTATTGACTCTTTGTTTTTGATTGATAGCTAATCCCGTGATCAGGCTTTGTTTACAATCTTATTGGGACGGCAATCTAGCTCATCACTTTCATTTCTATAACTTTTCGGATATTTCTCTCATCAACAGCCGTCACAAAATATCAACTGGACAAAATCCGTCCGCTACACACTTCCAAATGGTGTGGGGAGGTGGGGTTCGCACTTGCTATTGTTGGGAGAAAGTCGAAAGGTCGAAAAGAGTTGAGATATTTGTGGAAGTTGAAGGTAGTCGCGCTCGACGGGGGAACTGGTGGAAACTGGTGGAATTTTGGTGGAAACTTCAAGAGTGAAGCTTGAAGTGGATAAAATTGGGACACTGCCTTTTCTTTGGCAATGTTTACCCAGTATTTAATCCTTCCCCTTCCCTCATCTTCGTCCCCCTCTCAACGCTCGGCGGTTATTCTGGAGGCAAAAGTTGGAGCATGTCGATCTCAGCATCGACTACTTCAGAAATGGCCATGATGGTGGAGGTGGTGGCTATAGTGGGGGAGGGGGGTGGGCAGTAGTGAATAGGAGAAGAGGAGGCTGTATGGAGGTATGAAGCACCTCTAAGAGTGACGGTGAGCTTGTTGGGTCGTACTGAGGCCAGCGCGGTGAGGGGCTTGTCAAATTTCTGGAGTTGGAACAGCTGACGGTCAACACTGGTCGGAATTTTTCATTACCTTTTTCCTTTAAAAAATATTAGCGTGCACAAATACTAACAAATGGGGGACGAGTGTAAACTGTTCTGCCAATGTGCACCTATAAATGGTTTGAAAGCATTCTGATTTACATTTTTCATTGAGCCGAGTGTCTTGATGATCAAAGACCTCACTCCACACTTTTGCTCGCCGTGGACGGCGTTTGACTATTAAGGACATGGGCCGTCATCCTTCCCTCTCTCTATGCTCGATTTATTCATTTATTGTAAAATTCACCTGGGAACATAGTCACACAATCTGTGTCATAATCGTCATGGTATTGCCCTAGCCAAGTGTACGTCATCCGGAACATATTTATTTGAACGCCTTTGTGGTCCTCCTCATAATACGAATGAATGGCGGATGTATGGATGACGTTAGATCGAAGCTCATAAACGACTAAAGGCGGATTTTGTCCTAAATACTCTAATTGCTGTGTCTTCATTTTTTCAATTGGGAAAAGATCCAAACCCCGTAGCTTTTATCCGTTCAATCAGTATTTCTTGTTCATTACAGAATTGCTACTAATAGTATAGTAAGAAGCACTAACGTATTTCAGGCGTCCTTCTCATTGGAAATGGTTTCTGGCGTAGAGGGCTTGGGAGCTGCATCTGATCGAATCGAAGCGGTACTCTGCCATCTGCTCATCCCGCTTTTTCTGCGCACCGCAACGAATCCTAAAGGTACGTTCTCTTCACAAGCATTTACAAGCCCGAGTTCGAATGTGTCAGGAGAAGAATTTTTGACATCTAGTTGTATTCACCAGTTTCAGAGCTAGGCTGGGAAACTCAGCTTCTCTGTTCCGCTATTTTCTTTCCGAAACAAGTCTTACTTTGCACTAAAATGTTTTTTTAATTTCTATTTGTCCACTGCAGTAGGACTATCAGTCATATGTTGAAGGTGGAATTCACGATAAGAACGAAGGTCAGAGAAGGAGAAAATTGCATAGTTGGGAAGCAGGCGGACCTCCTGAGGGTGCTGACCGACGCGCAATTGGCAGCGAATTTGACC